GTGGTTGGGGGAGGGGGAGGGAAAGGGGAGGCGGCGGTGGGGAAGAGACAGAAATCTTTAATAAATAAATAAATAAATTAAAAAAAATTGTCATCAAAATAGAGGAGGATCTTCCTATTGAAAACTGTAGAATTTTTAAATATTATTTTAGAATTCAGGATGACAATCTTGACTGTCAACTTGATGGGTTTTAAAGTTATCATGGAAACAAATCTGTGGGCATTTCTTTAAGTTGTGGAGGTTTGGATAAATTAGCCCCATAGACTCATGTGTTTAAGAGCTTGGTCCATATGGAGTGGCACTATTAGGGAGTATAGCCTTGTTGGAGGAAGTGTGTCACTGTGGAGCTACAGTTTGAGGTCTCATATATGCTCAATAACACAGTTGCGCTGTGCGGTCCAGAAGGCATTGTTTGCTGTGGTCATCCACTGCCTATGGCTTTACAATCTTTCCACTCCTTCTTTGGCAGTGGTCCCTTTGATATTGGAAGGAGAAGGGTGTGTTATAGATGTCCCATCTGAACATTCTACTGTTTTATTCTCTTCATCTTGACTAGTTGTATGTCACCGTCTACTGGAAAAAAATAAAAGCTTCTCTGATGAGGCTTGAGAGGCATATTAATATGTAGGTATAATGACATAATGGTAGGTCATTGGGAGTTATTTTAATATCATGTCCTTTTACTGTAGAAATTGTAAATTGATCCCTAGGTCCTATGTCCTGTCTGGCCACAGCTATCTAGATCTTATAACAGTATCAAATATGGGTTTCATCTTGTAGAGCAGGCCTAAGTCTAATCAAATACTGTTGGTTGCTTCTAGGACATTTATGGAACTATAGTATTCGTGAGCTTATCTAAACAGGCAAGTTGTTATAATAGCTCCCACTTTTTATATCTCAGTAAGACTGATAACTTTCTTCATCCAGTGGTGTGCATAACACTGCTTAGCACTATGAAAGCCATTCATTAGGGATAAAGTTTTTAGATCAGTATGAGCTTGATTTCTCCATGTTCTATTGCTCTGTAGTTCAGTGTATCTTCAGCAGCAGGATTGGGAAGGTGACTAAGAGCAATGGCAAATGCCGGTAATATGTGATGGCCTGTGGGACCTTATAGACCAACAACTCCAAAAGAGGTAACCCTTCCTGACACTGGGCTTTTGATTTGTTAAGCTATGGTGTATTCTTTGGACATGGTTGTCCTGTTAGAGAGTAACTCCATTTAATCTTTCTCTCTCTCTTTTTCTCTCCCCATCTCTTATTGTATCTATCTATCTATCTATCTATCTATCTATCTATCTATCTATCTATAATGTGTGTATATGTGTGTCTATACACACACATAATATGTGTATATATATGGTTAATTTTTTTATCTTCATACAAACCTAAATATATCTGGAAAAAAAGGAATCCTAATTGAGATAATACCTCTATGGGCAAGTCTGTAAGGTGTTATTATCAGTGATTCATGTGAGAGGGGCCTATCCACTGTGGGCAGTGCCATCGTTGGCTAGGTAGTCCCAGGGTGTATATATGAATGTAGGTTGAGCAAATGAGCAAACATCATTCCTACATGGTTTCTGCTTCAGTTCCTACCTCCAGGTTCCTGCCTTGAAGGTTTTTTTTTATTGTTTTTATTGAGCTATACATTTTTCTCTGCTTCCCTCCTTTCCTTACCCCTTCCCTTCTGCCCTCTCCCATGATCCTCATGCTCCCAATTTACTTGGGAAATCTTGACTTTTTCTACTTCCCATGTACATTAGATCCATGTATATCTCTCTTAGGGTTCTTTTTGTTGTCTAGGTTCTCTGAAGTTGTGAGTTGTAGACTGGTTTTTCTTTGCTTTATGTCTAAAAGCCACTTTTGACTAGTATGATTACATTTGTCTTTCTGGGTCTGGGTTACCTCACTCAATATGATGTTTTCTATATCTATCCATTTGCCCGCAAATTTGAAGATGTCATTTTTTTTCACTGTGTAGTACTCCATTGTGTAAGTGTGCCACATTTTCCTTATCCATTCTTTGCTGGAGGCTGCCTTGATATTTTGCTCTGACTTCCTCTTATTGATGGAATATGAGCTGAGAGCTGTAAGATGAAATAAATCTTTCTTTCCCAAAGTTGCTTCAGGTCTTGGTGGTGGGTTTTTTGTTTTGTCTTATTTTGTGGGGGTTTGTTTGTTTGTTTTTAAGATACCGTTTTACTATGTAGCCCTGGTTGTCCGGGACCTCATTCTGTAGACCAGACTGGCCATAAACTGACAGAGATCCACTTGCTTCTGGCTCTTGAGTTCTGGGATTAAAGGCTGTACCACCATCATTCTGCAGGTCTTGGTGTTTTATCACAGCAGTATGTTGACCAAGGTTTCTGTCCCATCCAGTCCTGCAGTCATGCAACCCCAACGAAACACACAGAGGTCTACAGTTATTATAAAACTGATCAGCTCATTAGCTCACGCTTCTTAGTTTTATAATTAATGTAGACCTCTGTGTGTTTCTTTGAAACTGAATGACTGCAGGACCGGGTGGTACAGAAACCTTAGTCAACAGCAGTAGAGACCCTCATTAAGACCAAGTCTTCTACAGTAACTGTTTTCTCATGTAAACATTTCAGAAGGTGTAGTTTTTTCTTTCTTTCTTTCTTTCTTTCTTTCTTTCTTTCTTTCTTTCTTTCTTTCTTTCTTTCTTTTTTTAAAAAAAAACTCTTTGGGGGCTCACTACCCACCTGCCAAATAAACACACAGAGACTTATTTTATCTTCTGAATGTCTTGTTTCTAACCAGCTTTTCTAGCTTAAATTATCCTGTTTCTCTTTAACTATGTTTTGCCTCTGGATTTTTTTTTCCTTTCTTCTACATATTTTTCTTTCCTTCTTACTCTGTAGCTGGCTGTGTGGCTGAGTAGCTGTCCCCTGGCATCCACTTCTTCTTCACCTTTTCTTGTTCCTCTCTCTTCTTTTGGGCCTAGATTTATCCTACTTATTCTCTCTGATTGGCAGCCCCACCTCTCTACTGTCTAGCTATTGCTGTTCAACTTTTTAGTAGACCATTCAGGTGTTTTAGGTAGGCAAAGTAACACAGCTTCACAGAGTTAAACAAATGCACCATAAAAGAATGCAAAACATCTTAGCATCATTAAACAAACATTCCACAGCATAAATTAATGTAGCACATCTTAAACTAGTATTTCACAACAAGAAGGTCTTTGGTGTTAATTATCCCTCCCTGTACTCCCTCTACCCTGCTCTCCAAGTTTCAAGATTATTGTTAAGATTATTCTTTCCTGAGTTTTAGCACTGTGTTCTCCCGACCCACTCACCCCTGCCTTCCCCATGGAAGCTCCTACCATGACCTCTTAATTTCTTCATCCAGTAACTAATTCCAAGACCACTTCTATACTTTAAGGTATTTGTTATAAATATTACTGTTTTTCAAGAAACCAAAGTATGTATCAGTTTCTATTGTTGCTTTGACACATGACTACAGAGTCAGAGGTTTAAGCAATATGAAGTTGTGTCCTTTCCTTAATGTAGGAATCGGCCTGTCCAAAGTCAAGGTAGCAGTAGGTGTGCTTCCTTAGAGCGTTTCCTGGGGACAATCTGTTCCTGTGCTTTTGCCAGCTCTCTATGCCCTAACATGACTGTGTATCACATAGACTCTTTAGCCCTTGACATCTCATCACTTCTTCTGAATTTTTACCTCCTTTTTAGAAGGATTCCTGTGATTCCATGGTGTTAGCAACATAGTCCAGAAAGCTCTTACCTGGTTTTTGTTTGTTTTGTTTTGTTTGAGACTTAGTCTAATTGTGTTGCCCTGACTTCCTTTGAAGTTGTTATGTATACCAGGCTGTCTTTAAACCCCCAGATATCAATGCGCTTCTTAGAAGGCATCCAAGTGATGAGAATCAAAGTATGCACCACCATGCCCATCCTGTCCAGTCCTTTCCTCTGTAAAGGAGTAGGGACATATTCACAAGTTTCAGGGTTCTAGATGTCTTTAGGGAGCATATTTTGCCTGCCACTCTCTCCTTTTCACATAAAGTTGCTTGCCATCAACTCTGCTAATTTTGTTATCGGCACTTTTTTACTGTTTTCGTAGAGTTGCCATGTTTCTCTTCATAAGAGGGACTCAGAGTGTCTTCACAGAAGCAGGTGTTTGTATTCCTAGAGAATACTCTTGCCCAGACGAGAGGAGTAGAGATGCTGAGGAGAGCCTTCTGTGGCTGTGATCTTACAGCTTATGACTTCTCTGGCTAGGAACCTCCAGAACCCTGCTGTGTGGAGGCCCAGATTTGTCTTCTTTATCTTCCCTTGGGTCCTAACTTCTGCCCCAAGCTCTCTTGACCTCAGTAGCTGTATCCTATGCAGGCTCTGTGGTCTTGTAAATCAGCTCCTAGATGTGAGGATGCTCAGGCTGCTAGAGCAGTGTCTGATTTAGAGCACCCTGAGGCCTTATCTAGGAGACTCTTGTAATACCTTGAGAGCCATTTCTTAGACCTAGTAAGTAGGAAACTTGAGTTAGGTCATTTTAAGTTTTGGTCTCGTCATGCATATTTTGATCAAAGACGTTGCCTATGGTGGCTCTCTTCAGCCCACCTGGATAATACTTGAGATAAGAGGATAAGCAATGTGGTTGCTTTGTTATCCAAGTGTCCTCTTGCTCTGCACAAGATCTCTCTGCCTCTTGCTGCAGGCCTAGTGTGCATTCATTAAGTGCGTGTGCCTTTGTGGGAAGTTTCTTTCAATTCCCTT